TACTCAGAATCACTATTGTACGTAACTGCCTTTGATAGTATAATCTTCATGAGAAACTGAAATAACGAACTTAAAAAACACTGAACACAAGTAGTTTGCAAAACAATTCTTTAGCTTTCTTATCCAGTAACTTCACTGGCACTTCCTGTATGAATTATAGGGAAACAGAAACATGAAGGACTGAAATGTACAACACTGCAACAGGGGGACATCCACTCACCAGTGGTCAGAAATGTAAGTAAAGCACAAAGAAAAGAAATAGAAATATTTTCATATGTAAAATCTTACTTAAAATATCTTAATGGAAAAAAAGACACATTTTTCCATATCCCTACACAGGTATGATCATGCCTGACAAGATGTTTTGTTGTGTTATCATTAATGGTTTCAGATGGAAACAAAAAATCAAATTACCAAAATCATTTGCTAATTTTTTGGCATCTTCCAAACTTTATCTTTCACAAACAAACTATCTTGTGACGTCACTGCACAAAATTAGTCATCTGTATTTGTTTAAAATAGTCATGGCAACATTCCTTAGAAAATCCAATTTAATCCAAAGCCCTGTACAAGCATCACACTGATGTGTCTGCCTGTGTGTTATGGAGAGTGAAGAATGCCAAATCACAATAAATAAATAAGTCGTTCAATAATTAAGATGTGTCTTTACTGTTAAGTTTGTGGTAAACAAATTGAAGCAATTTAAATGGATGAAGTTATTTCTGTTCAGTCATTGCAAATTTGAAAGAAGTCGTCTTGACAGCCAATCAGATGCCAGGTTCTATAGAATGTTGCCCTCGACCCGCCCACTGAATTTGATGGGTGAAGTTGACAGTTTGAATGATGTTCTTGAAACAAAGCCATAACATTTAATTGAGGCATAGCCTTGGGAAAACGGTAATCAATTTTAAGCACTGCGCTGCCCTCTGGTGGTCAGAATGTGCAACCACAGAGACCGACTCCATGAGCATGTTGAAGTGTGCGAAACATGCAGATGGCAAATAAAATAAACAAAACAAAATCATGCTATAGCATTGCTGCTGTAGATGAACACCTTAAACGTAATAGTTCATAAGCCAAACTCGGCTACATTTCATAAATCAATTCTGTAATTTTTTTCCCGTTTTAAAAATTAATGACTTATGATATTGAAATAGTCATGTCATAAGGTATAAATTATAATTCTTTTAATGGAAAAAAAATCCACGTTTTTCGATACAATTTTAGATTGCGCTGGTTTCTCAGCTATTGGAAACACCTTTTCGCATCACACGAGTCACGCGAGGTATAACCGGATGTTACTACTACCGAAAACGAAGAATTAGCATGAGGTTTATTTTTTTCTCTTGACAGTGTGTAGCTGACTGTCCCGGAGAGTCATATTAAAGTGTTGAATCCATAGCTCTTCTGTAAAATCTCCGACTACTATTTCCCCCAAGGCCCAGCCGCTCCTAAATATAAGGCTTATCCGCCTGAAAGAGACTCCAATGTCTCCTCTGATTGGTTGATAGATAATAGGCGCTAGCGCCACAGCTGTGTTATGAATATATCTCATGTAACTATTTACATCTGCCGCTGCAGTGATTTTTTAATGACTTATCGCGTGAACAATCTTATTCACATGTGATTTTAATCTAATACCTTATAGTGGAAATGCCACAACTATAAAATTGTGTCGTTTTTTGTTTGCTTGTTTGTGTTTTGACATTAGCAGAACACAAGGATTTGCGCGCATTTGTAATGGTCATTGGGTTTTCTGATGAGAAAACCCAATGACCTTGTAAGCGCGTCACGTGCGGCCCATGATCACCGCATATCATTCTTTCTGAACGATTTCCACTGATGCCATTTCTTTCCTTTTGTTATTATTATTATTTTTGACGAGCATATTTCTGAACCACATTCCAGCAGCAGCAGCTTTGGTTTTTGGGAGTTTATTCCTTGCGTAACATAATCTTGGTGTGTCTGCCCCTCCTTGTTCCTGCGAGCCGAGGGAGCAGCCGCGACACCACCCACCCCCATCGCCTTCCTCCCTCCTCCTTTTCTTCCTTCATTCTGCACGGACAGCCGAGCTGAGCGCGGCTCGCCTCGTCATGTTTACGAAGCGCGGCGTGGAGAAAACCACCGCCGTCCCACTGGAATGATCCGACACGGAATCCCCCCTCCCTCCCTCGCCTTCATCCCCTGCCGGATCCGGACTTGGACCTGTGCGTAAAAACGCGAGACGGCATCAGTCAGATATCCGCCGTGCGGTGATTTGAGCGGAGGATCGTCTCCTCTTCTTTTTCTCCTGCACCACGCGCCCCATTACATAGGGAGGGAATCCATCTAATTTTGAAAAAATAAACAAAACAAACAACAACAAAAGAAAACAGCTCCTGTTGGAATTCTAGAGGAGCAGGGACGTAAAGAAGAGCATGGAGGCCCTGCTGTCTGTGCTGAAGGGCCACCCTGGCCCAGCGGTGCTGGTCTGCTCTCTGCTGTTCAGGGTGGCCCACCAGCTGCTGCAGAGGCTGCCCGTCCCCACTGTGGTCCGGCAGGACGCCTTCCGCTCCTGGAAGTGGAAGAACCTGTCCGTGTCCATGGTGCACTCGGTGCTGACCGGGACCTGGGCTCTGACCTGGTGAGTGACAGCTCTATCCATTCACTCGCCCGCTGCTCCACACTGAGGTGGCATTGTCTTGTTCCCGGTTCACATGATGTACAGTGTGTGGGTGTGTGTGTGTGTGTGTGTGTGTGTGTGTGTGTGTAGCAGTGACAGTCTGTGGCAATCAGGAGAACAAGAAGAAGGGCATGCTTGGACTGGGACAATGACATTCTTAGGTGGGGAGGGACACGCGGAGCTGCTTCTGTTGTTGGTGCTGTTGGTGTTTTCACTTCTGAGCTCCAGACAGAATAAGAAAAGACAAAAAAAAATCAACTGGAAAAACCTGATTTCCTATTGGGAAAGCATCAAAAGAGGGGCGGGGAATCAACACACATGACTCATTTCCCCACATTAAGAGTAACGTAATTACTTCTTTAATTTCTGAATCAGAAATGTGAAGGAATGACTCAATAACGCATGGCACGGTTTCGAGCCAAGCTTTCACTGTGGCGTTTTTACACACACACACAAAACGTTGAGCTATTAAAGGGGCGGTATCATGTAAAATTGACTTTTTTTTGAGCTTTTATGTTGTGTTATAATGTTATTCCCTCGTCAAAAATGGACCTGGAGGGTTGCCTTGATTCTTTCATGCATGTTTGAGAAATCCTTTAATTTCCATGGCAACCAGTTAGCTGTGCAAAACACCTGGTTGGACCTAGCTTTGCCTCTTTGGAGGACTTAAGCTTCCCAGATTCCAATCCATAGAGAACCTTTCTCCTACGACTTACACCAATCAGCTCCTTCAGATTAGCCAGCAGTAAATAGCAAACATTTATTGGACTGTGCATCTGCCAAGCTCATTATAAGAGCTACTTCTCACTGCAATGCTGGCTAAAGGGTTAACAGAGGAACGATGTTGTGAAGTGAAAATACCTCTGGTGAATACAGCTCAGAGTACCTTTAAAACATCCCCTGAAAGCATTGTTGTCTGTTGTTGGGGAGAAGAAGGTTTTTAAAAGGCTTTACTTACCGACGCCTCTGCTTAGTCAGGGCTTTCTGTCCTAAAATGAGCCGCTGTCTGTCTGACTCAGGTCCAGAGTCGTTAATCCGTCCTGTGTGTGTGTCTCTCTGCAGCGCGGTGATCTGGCCCGAGACGCTCAGCAACATCCACAAATTTCACAACACTCTGTCCTACCTGCTTATCTGCGTCTCCACAGGTCAGTAAATGTACCTCTGTCTGTTTTATGTGCCAAAACGAGATCCATGTCGCTTATAGTTTTTCTTTTTTTTTCACATTTTGTCACGTTACAAACATAAACAATGTAATTAATTAGTTTGATTTTTGGTTAGAGCAACATAAGTAACAAAAAGAAAACGTTGTTCTTTTAATTGTCGTTTTGAATGTGAAAATATGACAAAAATAGAAAAAAAACATGACGAGAAACTAACATTCTTCTTTTTAAATTTAAAATCTGAATTTACTGGAGAAGCCATGACTCGTTTTCAAATATATTCCAACACAAGCACCTAATTATAACGCCTGATTAGATGTTGGTTTGGTTACGTTATTATTACCTATCTTTTAGAAAATGTAAAGCTGATGACTGTAGTTCTCCTTTTGCAGTGGAAATTTGCAGGCCACTTATCAGATTTTTATGTTCCAAAGCCTTTTATCATTTTCCTTCCTTTTCCTCACAATTATGTACATAAAACCGCAACACAATACTGAACGTTTGTTGTTGTGCCCACATTAAGAGTCAGCAGTAACGTAAATACTTACTGCTGACTCACTTACTGTGATGTGTTAAAATACGAAGGGAAGTCTATATTTGAGAAGGTGACACAACCAAAAAAAAAAAAGGTTTTGTCTTAAAATCAGCCAAGTTATTTGATCTGTACGTGAGAATATTAAAATGTTATTGCACCCATCGCAGTGTGTGGGAGGGGTTCAACTGCATTTGCCTCCTATTACAAAAGAAACCTGTAATTATCTCACTTTCTGTTGTTTGAAGCAGTCGGCAGCTCCTCCTTTAATCCTAACAGACGAACGCTAGGGCTACCAAAAACAACCGTCTCAAGTCTTGGTGGTCTGTTCGAGTCTCTCTGTTGTGTGTGTGGTTTGGTTTTTGTGTCTCTAGGAGAACACAAGTCTGGTGAGAGCTTCCATCCCCCCTAACAACTGCAAACAGTTCCTCAGAGCCCAAATACAAATGAAATGAGAGGTTAGGAGCATTAACAGAGCAGCTGTTTGTGTGTCATGCTCACCTCAGAGTGGCGCTCGTAAAAATAAATAAATGAAAAAAATCCCAGGCAGTGGAAATATTTCAGCTGAATCAGGCTGTCACAGTTTAATAATCAAATGAGAAACGTTTAGTTTGCATGTCTGGAATATGATGACTGGAGACTTTTCGCTTTCCTGTCAAAGGAGTTTAATAGTCAAACAAAAAAGAGAAACGTTTTCTAATTGTATTTAAAAAAAAAAAACAATAACTCCAATGCTGCAAACTATGGAGTGGTATTAGGTCCAAAATTAAGACTGCTGTGCACCAAGCAGTGGCTACTTCCTTTTCACAGGAGGCTATAATTATTATGAAGTGACAGCTGCTAATGTGATTAATGAGAGGCCAGTGCTCGTAAAAATGAGAAAGAGAGTACACCTTGTGTTAGCATTGTACTGGCATGTGAGTAGCATGGTCACCCACTGGATAGCAGCTACTCTGCTGTCCAGCAGGCTAGTGTTAGCATTGGAGAGGCTAACGACTAGCATACCTGGTTTAGGCTCACACTTCATCAAGAAATATAGTGGACATAAAATATCCATAGGCAACATATAGGTATTGAAACGTGTTCTTTTGATACATTACATCACATACAATTCAATATCACATCAAGCATGAACACAGCACTGTACAATACAGAGCTGAAGTTGGCTTCCGAACGTCCAGGACAGGAGACGTCACCAGGACCGATCAGCCAATCAGAAATAGATTTGGAAACATGTGGCCTCGTCTCATTACTCATCTAATCAGAAAAATTTAATCTATGACTATTTTCTACCAAACTGTTTAATTTCAGACAGAAAGCAAGAATGAAATGTTAAAAAAGATGCCATTGTTGGTGAAAAAAAAAATCTTCATGGCCAAAGCAGTTTCTCGCTTTCAAGGAAGAGAGACTAATTTCAGAGAATAACACTGTATTACCAAATTCATAAGTGCTTGAAGCTAGTAAAAATCAATTATTCATGTGGAATCTATGAATCCCAATGCATTTTAAAAGGTGTTGTCGAACATAGTTAAATGTGTGTGTAAGGTCAGTTCTGTTGTGTTGGTGTGTAACTACACTTTCATTTTGAAGCTGTATCTGTTTGTTAATTTAGTTTTTTATTTTTATTTTTATGGATAGTCCATGTCTTTACCTCACATCACATTAATACCAAACTACTTTTTTTTTCCCCAGGTTACTTTGTGCATGATGCAGGCGATATCATTCTGACGGGACACGGCAGAGGATCATGGGAGTTTTTACTCCATCACGCGATGGTAAGATGTTTGTGCTCATGCTTTTGTTTTTAACTCGATAAAGCTGCCGTTTCTGGTTCAGACAGCACATCTGAGTCACAAGACAAAAGAGAGATAACATCAAGCTCTGCAATGTGTTGGGCAGGTTCCAAGGACGTGGAATAAAAAGGAGAGTTGAAATTAACCTGATGGTTTCGTTTTACCTCTTTTTTTTTTACCAAACAACGTGTAGATGACTAAAGAAAACAGGATTTCCATTGATGCAGAAACATTGCTGGACTTTTGTCCCACTTAATGTTTTTTTTTTTGCTTTAAATGTTAATGAATTCTAGTAGAATTTCTACTCAGGATGTGTCTATTAAATCTAACACATTCAGCTTTTACTGCAATAGCAGAATCTCACACCAAAAAAATAAAAAATTCAACTTTTAAACAGATTGTGGTGCTCTAAAATGGGGCTGGACAATACGGCTGAAAAACGTATTATGACATAAAGGTTTCACAACAGTCGATATTGATAATTATTAGTGTTGTCTAGGCCTGTTGCAATAAACAATAAATCAATTAACTGATCAATTAAAACAAATGCAATAATTTCCATTTGTGTGATTTATAGTTTGTCTCTTTTCTTTCTCCTTGTACCAAAAATTGGATGATGCTTTGGTCTCAATTAGCCTCCTGTTTTTTTTTTTTCTAAAGGACAATTTTGTTTACAGAGACGTCATAACTTATTTGTTGTTTCTGTTTACTTGTTTACTAGACACAATTTATTACCATGCTTGTGAGCTTGAAATGTAAAAATACACGAAAATCTTTTATTGCCTCAAACCAAACATCTCAGTTTTCCAGGTTTTTGAATTCAGGATGGTTTAAAAGAAGTAATTTTGTTTCAAAAGTTATTTAGAAATGTGAACAATAAACTGGTTGTGTTTCGGTGGAAGGATAATTCATCATTGCGATAAGTACATACTACTTGGCACACCAGTTTCAATCTCCTCACTCATTTTTTCACTGGTGTTTACGGCTTTTCATTGCTGACCGCAGTACAAGACTGTGCTACTTTGAACGAGGTAACCCTCCATTGGAGAGATGTTTTATAGGTAATGTGATTAATTGGTGTTATGTAATATTAATACGTTAAACTTTTTAGATTAATCACATACGTTAACAGCCCTAATAATTATTGATTACTTTTTGTTTTAAATATCTGAAATACTCCCAGAGTGAACTGGTGCCGTGATCTTTCTTTTTTTAGCCACAGCTTTCACTCCTCGCTGTGGTTTTTCTTTATTCTCAAACATTTATGAGCCTTGAGAACTGCTTCTCCACAAGTTACTCAACATGTTGTTGCTAGGTAACCAAAGAGTCAGTTGGTCTGTTGATATCACCAACCTTAGCTTAGCTTAGGTTGAGCATCTATAGTTTTTCCTTTGCCTACATCTCCCACAATGCTGTGCGGTTCTAAATAAGAGTTCAGGGAAGCTATTGAATGTTCTGTCAAGCGTATTATATATTGATATTGATATCGCGATTGGTATTGTTAATAATTTATTGTCCAAAACCAAACCCAAGGCTAGCCGTCTGTTGGTACAAACACCCTCACCGTGATGTTCTATCTCCAGGTGATCTGGTGTTTCCTGTACGCCCTCTACACCCAGCTCTACATTGCCGGTGCTTTGATCGCCCTCTTCGTGGAGGTCAACAGCGTCACCCTGCACTTGCGGCTGATGCTGAAGCTGGCCAATGCTCAGTCCTCCTCCATCTACCACATCAACAAAATCGTCAACCTCTTCACCTACGTCATGTTTCGCCTCGGCACCCAGTTCTACCTCACCTGGTACATCGTCCACAACTACTCCTGGCTGGACCACGGTGGGTACTTCCTCATCACCATGATGATGATGAACATCATGATGGTGATCTATTTCTACCGTTTGCTCCGCACGGACTTCTTTCCCCGAAGCAAGAGGTACACGGGACAGAACGGCACACACAACAACAACTCCAAGAAGTTTCTCAGCGACTGACCGGGGGGAGCGGCTTACAGGACTGCCCCATGTATTTAATTTAAGACGGAAAGTTTACAGATTTTGTTGTGTTTTCATACTAACATATGCTTGTGATAACAGATTCACTGCCAAAGAATAAGCTCCCCAAAACACGTAGCCTTTTTCGGGTGCTGCTATTACACAGAAATTTTAAAGTAGGAAATTTTAACTAAATTCAACACGAGTCTAAGTGAAAACTGACAAATCCTTGAAATTGTACAAGTTTTGGCGTAATGGACAATGTTTTATTCGCTGGAATACCTAGAAGGTTTCTTAGATGTTTTGTAAAAATGTGATCAGCATTTATCTTGATCGCTTTCCTACTGAAGGTTAAAATGTAACTTTGGAAGGACTCAAACTTTTGGCCTTTAGACCAATTTTTCTGACCAGCTCATATAAAGCATAAAGTAACTACATAATAAAATATACAGAGTCAATTGGGTAGTGATAGCACTGAGTGGGATTTAACATTAAATTCTGTATCAAATTGTGTATAAGCACTGTGTGCTAATGATTAGTATGGATACATAAGAAGTAGGGGAAGCTTGGCTTTATGGAATAGATTCTTAAATTGACGTATTCAACATTAATGGAAAGATAATAACAAGCAGTGTGATGTAAATAGATTTTGGTCTGTTTTGTTTTCCTGTGAGCAGTGATTCTTTTTAAAAAGTGATCCACTAATGGTTATGTAGAAGTGACAAAAACCACCTTTAAAGTTATTGATCGTTTGATAATGTAATGCTTGTAAAATACATTCATTAGCCTTATTTAACAATGAAAAGAATGATGACCATCCTATGTCTGTAAGCTAAATATAAAGGATATGCCACAGATCTTTCCTTTGTACTAATATTAAGGCTGGAACTAGTCGGGATGTCAGCAATAGAATAAGAATACAAACAACTTGTTCCACCTAGTTTTCAATGGAAACATACCAACGAGAGAAAACAAATTAATAAAAATAAATTATGTTAAGTAATGAGCTTTAGAGATGTCCATAAATGTTGCCAGTTTGCTCTCTCAACAGTTAATTTGTCTGCTATTCTAGGGTTTGTAGGAGTATTTTAATATTTAAAATAAAATCTAAACAGTTAAAATGTTAGAAATACCTTGTTTACACAGTTGTATATTAGGGATTTTAATGTTGAAGTTCTGTGACACTCAAATATTGCTCAAAACATAAAAAGTGACCCTAACAACTTCGACCTGAATGACCATTGTAGCCTATCAGTGAGTGAATGAAATGCAGTTAGCATAGCCCATATGAGATTACAGAATTAATGGTTGTTAACTTAAAAAAAAATCTAGTTATTGATTTTATAATAACCTTTGTTTTAATTTTAACAACAGTGTTGCATTCCTGACACTATTAATATTCTTGCAGCTATCGAGCTAAACACTATTTAGCTAGAGGTATGTAGCTTCTCTTTTATTATTTAATATGACACTAATTAGAGAAATGTTGTTAACTTGTTAGGTAGTATGTTTAAAGAAGGTAATATATAACTTTTGTTTTACTTTTCAAAAAGCATTTTTTTCTTATTCATTCCCAGCCTAAATGCTACAAGCTAGCTGCCTATTTAGCTTACAAACATGAGAATGGTACTGATAGTTTCATTAAAATCTCTCTCGGAATCAACATTTTATTATAACTAAAGCAAAAAAAAAAAAAAAGAAAGAAAAGAAAAAGTAAAAGATTTAAGTATAGTTACAATTTACCTTTATAGGTGCTAGGTGGATTTTCTTATTTAATGTGATGTTGCTAATGTTTTGAGTCAGGTTGACTGTTGTCTGCAACTTTAAATGGGCACTGGATACAAACGAGGTACTGAAATTATTTATAACTTTTTATTATTTGCTCCCAGAATGCTAACATCTTGTGGTAATGTTACACTTGTCCATTGAAGTATATGTTAAGAATGTTGCTTTTTGTACTGCACACTCACTATACTTGCAATATATTTTACATCTGCATGGGTAAAAGTGGTTTTTTTTGTAGGGGTTTTTGACTAATGTTGACACTTAGAATTTTCTGAATTTGCATTTTAATATTGTATAATTATGTGGACCAATCCTTCTATCTCTATGAAGCCATGTCTCCAGGTATGGCTGAAGAGATGCTGGACCGGACAGAGTTGTTCATGACCAATTGAACTTCTAACATGCTATGATGCAGGATTATTTTTGGGCCTTTCTATGACTCTTTGATCAAATCTGTTTCTATCTGACTCCAGTGGAGCTGAAACCGGATCTTTCTGCCGTCTGTTCGCAAGGAACAATAACCCTGAAAATAATCCTTCACACTGAGCAGGCAGCAGCACAATCGTGTGGTCAGACACTGTGTATCTCTTGCTGGTTTGGTTAATAGCGACACTTTGGAGATTATCAATTTATAAATATTGAACCTGATCGACGTATGTCTCCTCTTTCTCTTATTTCCTCAGAAATGGATGTAAAACACTTTGTAAATATTTGTCCTCAAGTGCACATTCCTTTAGATCATTTTGTTTTTTTCATTTTTAAAGATGTACATGTTTGTTGGCTCTAAGTGGACTTGATCATTCCATTAGTCGTAACTGCTGATGACAGTAAAATTTTACTGACAAGTTTATTCCTCAAACACAACATTAGAAGCCATCCAGTCTTCCTCATTGAAGACTGGAGGGCAGTCTTGCTCCATGGAAGACTGGAGAGAAACATGGACAAGTTTGGATCCTGAGACATTGGCAATATAACCTTTGATTTATTTCCAAAAAGGCATGAGGACGTTGCAAGTGCTAAATCATCAGCGCGTAACAAAACAAGCCCCGTATAACTCTCTTTACCAATAGTTAATAGTGATAATGTTGTGGCTGATTGATATAAACTTCATTTTATATTTCAACCACCACCAAGAAAAAAAGGCAGACAGAGCTGATGTGCGTCTGACCTTTGCTGTTGTGCCTTCACACCAAAGTGCCTTTTGAACATAAGCAGAGACTACAATAACTATGAGTTTCCCACACAATGAAGGGAAGGAGTTACAACAGTTATTTCAATTGATCATGAGCACAATAATGTAAATGACTCTTGTATTAAAAGTGTCTTTCGAATCACTGAGTGAATAAAAAAGTTCTTAAAATCACAGGGGTCATGATTTCTTTCTATGTTTCAGTTTGCATGTGAAAGCTGAAAAATATAACATTTTTGAGGACACCTTGTCCACAGCACTTTCTACCAATAAAATCTTGAAAATTTGCCCATGAAGCCAAAAGTTGAGACAACTGAGTTCAATGAATTGTTCAGCTCAGAAAATACCATTGTTCAGTTGGATGCTAAATATTACAAATCAGAAATCAACAATCAAAAGAGCTTCCTAGCTGCATTTCCATTGACCATATAATTGCACAATTTTACATAATGAAAATATTTTTTGTACAATGGAAACATGCCCTGCGATGCACTGGCGACCTGTCCAGGTTGAGCCTGCCTCTTGTCCATTGACAGCTAGAGATAGGCACTGGAACACCTCCCAATCCCGATGAGATAAGGGTATAAGAAAATGGACGGATGGATGGAAACACACCAATTTCAAAAACACTAAATTTTTAATAAAACGTTTAGGTGCTGGGTAGAGTTGGGTTGTTTGGGTTAGGATTAGGGAATACAGACAAAGCTTTGAGCACATTTGCAATGGAAATGCAGCTACATATGATTAAATATCATGTTGTGCAGCCAATTTAATGTCAGAAAACAGTAATATAAACATCAGAATGACGACCCCTCCCCACTACAAAGTACTCAAATTAAAGGTTGGATTTCTCTCAAATTTTCAATGTAAGATTACGCTACTGCCTATGGAATGAGACTTTAATCTCATAAATCTGACTTTTTTGCTCAAAATTCTTATTTTTATAAAGTCAGAATTCCAGCTATGCTCTCTGGTCAGTCTGTGTTACACACCCCTGTCTCAAACAATGGCGCTAAAAGAGCCAAAAGTCAGTAGAAATCTGAGATTTAAGCCAGATTTTCTTTTGTGTATTCAAATTTAGTAAATAAACGATAATTTTCCTTTTAAAGTTTAGCCTTTGTCAGGGATGCAATAGTGGAGACTAGATCAACAGATTCCTGGCAGTTCTTCATTTTGTCCAGCAGGGGGCCGAGCAGGGGTAAATGTGGGAGGAAAGAATGAATCCAGGGGAACTGAGTCAGCAGCTGCTGTGGTCCTTCTCGGCTGCTCCCCACAACTTCCGTGGCTCAACTTAAACCCCATTAATAAATGTTAACTTTTTTTTTTACTAAACACGGAAAGCGTGAGTTGCCTTTGTGTGGAGCAAGAGGCGTCTTTTCGGGGAGTAAGAGAGAAGAGGACCATCTTGAATCGCTGAGGTATCCCGTAACATCAACTGTAGCTAAAAGGCTACCTCTCTATAGTTTACTTTAGAAAACTCACAGCGACCTTCTCTCTTTTCAGCTTTTTACTTGGGGTTTGTTGTTACATAAAAGTTTAAAAAGTCGCTACAGCTGGACGTAGAAGGAAACTAAATTAAGTAAATTGTACTTCTTTTGTCTTCAGTCGGAGCTTTGATGAACAATAGGATTAAAACAGACAGTAAGTGGCTCAGCACTGATTACAGTTGCCCCGGCTACCTTTCATTTCATGAGTAATCAGCCTTTGGCTCCTTTAGGCTGCCGTAGCTCTGAGGAAGTCTCGGGATATGTGTGTAGTAGTAGGAGCCTGTATTATATAGCCTCCGGGTATAAAGCTGTAATAGTACCTAGTAAAGATGTACGAATTTAGAAGGAGAAATATTTATTCAAATTATTTACTGAACTAATCTCTAGGAAATGTATGTTATATATGTAAAAACAGACATGTTTAACATTATATTTTTTTACTTGAAAAAATAAACATTATAAGTCATAACCTAGTGCCACGCTAAAGTATTTCTGATAGTGTTTTGATACCCAGTTTACAAAAATAATAATTTACCAAATAATTTACCACACACTCCAAAATGGTAAAGATATGTGGAAAGCCTTTAAGTCTATTTTTATTGCAGTAGCATTGTCTCCCACTGAAAAATGTAGAAAAATAATTACCTTTGATTTTAGTCATTTTATTCAACAGAAGAAAAAAAAATTCCAAAAAGCAGGATTTGTTTTCAAAGAGACCCAAACTTAAGGTGTTAAATTACTAAGTCATATTTGCATAGCGTTTTAAGAAAAACTGACAATAACATAGTTACTTTTTTGTGATATAAAATGGCACTGTGTTCTTGGAAAATGTATATTATGTATATAAGCGAAAATTTATCCCCAGCTGGCTGTTCGTTTATGCCACTGTCTCACTTCTGTTGCTAACCCATGTGAGTCTGGGTGCTTTCTCTGCAAAATACATTTTAATCTTGGCAGTGTGGGGGCTAAGTGTATACAGAGCCATATGCAGTGTGAGAAGGACAAAGGATTCCCCAAAATGCCCTGTATCTAAAGTTTTTCTGTCTTAAATTTCATTCAAAGCGACATTAAAGTCTTAAATTCGACTTGCTGTAACCTGCAAATACCCTGTATTGCAACCACATCATTTATTCCAATATACATTCACTATTCTGAACAAGATGGCATCAAAAGTGGCACATGCACTTCACAAACGGTCAAATCTGTCAATTTTCTTGATCCACACAACACACACCTTTTTCATTATCCCTGCACTATGGCAGCAGTTGAAATGTTTGTGTTTTTCTTGTCCAGACGTCGTTTACCCCGAGGCTTAATGTCTCTCAGAGTTTCAGGCATGAGCGTTTTTCCTCCGGTTCGCCGGGACCGGGTCATCGCTCAGCTGCCTCAGGTGAAAATCAAAAGTGGGAGCGTCAACTTTATTGTTTTAGAAAATCAATATTGCTCTCACTTTCATCTTCCTTTCTTTTGATTTTAGGCTTTCAGAAAGGAGGCGGCTCTTCACATTACGGAAGAATTCAACAACAAAGTGAGGATGGCCTGCAAGGAGCAGCGGACCGGCACTGTGGGGTGAGAACGGACACCTGAACTCTCTGTGAGCTCGTATTGATGTGGTTTCATCGGCTGACTCTTCTACCATTCCTTGTGTCAGATTTAAAATCTCCAAGGTCATCGTGGTCGGTGATCTGGCTGTGGGGAAAACCTGCCTGATTAATAGGTAAACGCTGCAGGCTAATGAATGCATGAAGCGTGATTTATTCATTAAAATATTTACTAATGTACAAACATTAAGAGCTGGATGTTATTTTTGTTACCTCTGAGAATATCTGCAAACATTGTTGAGTATTAGTAGTGAGTGTAACTGTGTTTGTAGTTAAATTATTAAAGATAGCAGGAAGGAGAGTGAACTTGCGTTAAATATTGTCCTGTTAAACATAATTGGTAACCAGGAATATGGAGGAATTTTTCTGCCATAATCCAAGAGCAAGCATTTCCAGTCTGAAAACAGGATTTCATGTCTTTTGTTCTCAAAACTTTTAAGACTTTTGCTTACATTTTTATTTTGAAAGCAGGACTTCTTCTCAAACCTAGTAATGCTTATACTCAAAACTTCTCCTCACGCTCACACTTAGGCTCTCTGCTTGCTTATGAAACATGGAACTGCCTTTTGGCTCAGTCGCCTGGCAACTTCTCAGCCAATATAATTAAAGTATTGTATTGAGTGTGTTTGTTTCCCTCTAGCGGGTGTTAGAAGAAACTTCTAACACTGCTAGTGGTGAATTATAGTGAATTATAGATTAATTGTATCGTTGATCTTTTAAACACTCATGAGAGTGTTGCTGCTATCGATTGTAGCAACCTGTGCCACCCACAGGATGTAGGGAGAAATAACGACAGCATAACGGTGCTACTGATCGCTATTAGCTACTGATATTAGGCAGGATTTTGTTCACCCAGCCAAAGTCAACACAGTACAAGCATTACAAGTTTTGAGAAGAAAGACATGAAGTCCTGCTTTCAAAATAGAAATGTATGCAAAAGTATTGAAAATGTTGAGAACAAAGGACATGAAATCTATAAATGTGAAAACACATTTTCAATAGTAGATATTTACAAAAATGAAAAAGTATAGCTGTGTGAGCAATGTGACCCAGTAGTCCGGAAAGTAAAACCAGATTTCTGCTTTAGATTTTGCAAGGATGCCTTCGATAAAAACTACAAAGCGACCATCGGTGTTGACTTTGAGATGGAGCGCTTTGAGGTGCTCGGCGTCCCTTTCAGTCTGCAGCTGTGAGTCGGATTATTTCTTCTTTTTTATTTATTATTTATTTAATCCAGTTGCTGTGACTTTGCTGAGTTTTTGCTCCATTACAGTTGGGACACTGCAGGCCAGGAAAGGTTCAAGTGCATCGCTTCGACTTACTACAGAGGAGCTCAGGGTTTGTCCATCCAGCTTTTCCAAATATACCGCGAATTAAACAGGAAATAGGTATTGGAAAAAAATTAAAAAGGCTTCAAGTTAAATGTTCTTTCCTCAGTTGTGATAATCGCATTTGACGTGAACGACATCGCCTCTCTGGGCCACGCCAGGTAAGCTCTCTGATCACGAGAGTGTTGCTGGACTCATGATTTCTGCCTCGCTCTGGTTGATGTCCTGCCATGTTTTATTGCTGCAGGCAGTGGCTGGAGGACGCCTTGAAAGAGAATGACCCCACCAGCGTCCAGCTCTTCCTCGTTGGCACAAAAAAGGACCTGAGTGTGAGTCTAAACGCTGTTGAAAGTGGACACTGCCTGTGGATGTGTTATGTTGTTTTTTTTTACTGGAAGTGCTTGGGTCAATGCCAGACACACACACACACACACACACACACACACACACACCTGCACGCACACACACACATACAGTTTGTGTTCTTCTTCTGGTTGAAACCTCAGGAATGTTTCATAAAAACCCCAAAAGCTTTTCTGACTGAGGCAGGAATATTGGCTGTTTTTGAGATGAGTCTGAGCTCTTCAACTTTCGCCTGATTCTCATAAAAATTCCTCTTTTGCTTTGCTGCTAGTGGTGAATTACAGATGAATTGTATCGTCTAATATAGTCTTTTAAAATTTTACAACTTTATGCATAATTTGCATAAATATGTGACAATTCCTGTATTTTCACGTCACTCATCTAGTTACATTACA